GTTGTGTTGTGTTGTGTTGTAATTCATTCCTATATTAAAATAATATGAAATTAATTCAAACTTGTCCATGTTAACAATCAACAGTCTCTGCATGGAAATGACTGCAATAAAGTGGCCACGCATTATTTTTTTTTAATCCAAGTGCATAAATTGTTATCTCAAAATAAATCAAAAACTCAAAAAGTCAAAACACTGACACCCAGATTGTATAACATAGTCCAAAATTAAAATACAACTGCATTAAAACCAAATGGTTTATTTCAGGGGTTTTCAAACTGTGATTGTGGACCTCCCCTCAGACAAAGCTTGAAAAAAGAAAACTTAATGTCATAATGCAGTAAAGAATAGTATCAGATAAAGTATTCACTTGTCAAAGTTGTTAACTTGTGATGAAATTTCCCACTAAATGAGCCAACAATGTAAGACAACTTTTTAAAATTATTTAAAATAGTCTTTGACAGATGATGTAGAAATGAAATAGGAACTTTATAATGTAATAATTTTCTGATCATCTAAATAATGTATTACAGAATCAAAACGGCTCATTGAGCTTCTGAAACTGGAGATGCTGCACAGTCCCAGGACATGTAGAGGCACTACATTTCCTGGGTGCTTGGAAAAGTCTGAGGAGGAAGGGAATCCTGGGTTGATGCATGTATGGATCATTGTAAGGGACATTTCATCACATCAAAACTGCTCTTGTTTAGCAAAAGACTACTATCTTAGTTTTTCCTTTTTCATTGAAAAAACATCGAAGTCACTTTATTTTTTACTAAGTTTTTACCTCCTTTATCAAATTTTAAACTGCACTTTTCTAAGTAAATGCTATCTTTGTTAACCAAGCTTATTTGTTTAAACATGAAGGAGCAAAGTCACGCATAAAGGAGCAGGAGTAATGCAGTCAGAAATACTTTATTGGTTACATTGCTTGCTTAAAATGACTGTAGTGTACGTATGTGTGTGTAAATCAGGAACAAGTTTGTATATTTTACAGCTGGTAGAAAATCAAAGCCAATACATCTCCCAGCATTTTTAGGAGTGCTTGGAAAACTCAGAGGAGGAAGAGCACTGTGAACTACACAGTAACCCCTGCTGGTAAATGGCTTGATATGTGAGTGACCCTTATTATATCTGCACAAACACTTCCTATTCTTTGACTTCGATGTTGCTGAATCAGTCACTGATCTCATCAAAGTAATTATCAGCAAAGCGAAGCATCTGTATGACGGCGCTGAGCAGCAGGATGTCGCAGTTTGGGTCTAGCTCCAACTCCTCACTGTAGTTCTTCACCGGAACAACGCAGGACAGTGGCACACCAAGCCGAGCACTGACCTCCTGCATCTGGATCACAAAACAGATGAGGTAGCAAAATTATAATTTCAATACAGTTTTGGTTATGGCCACACATTACAAGGCAAGTACACCAACTTTTAAACAAAAGTTACATGACTAATAAATATTGAATATATTGGTTGGCTCGTGTCATTTATTAGTACTCAAGTACTACAACACATTTGACTCATTAAGGTTTGATCTACCATGTAACCTCAGGACTTAATGTTTCTCATGTGACAATATGCTGTGAAGAAAGTGAAGCCTCTCAAATTAGTGTTGAAAGGTCTTCAACCCTCCACCAGTCATGTACATTTGAAGCTATCTGAATTACATAAAGACAAACTAATGGACAGACTTTGACATGTCAGCTTAAATCTTTCAAGTGAAAAACTACTAAATAAAAACACACTACTAACTAACAATACAATTTTCTTTCTTCAGTATAAAATCCTCACCATTTCCTTAATGTAGCCACTCTTATAAATGTTTCTCACATCCTCTGTCACCAATGGGCAGGCTTCGTCTACTTTAGTGAGCAGGACCAGCTGAGGAACCCCTGGAAACCAGAGCAGAAAGAACATTTCCGAAATGCTATTGATCTGAGGGCATCAGGCTGGCAAAAATATAACGAGGTAGCTCTTCTAAAATCTTTATGCTTGTTGTTGTTATAACTGAAGGACAGTTATAAACAATATGGATTTCTTGTTCTAACATTTATTGAAACATACAAGTTTTGAAGGGTAAACTATGGCTGTGTCACTATTTATTTAGTCTTTTACTCTTCAGTGAGTGGTAAATTGAGATTGTTACTCATCATGATCATTATTCTGTGTTGCTGCACAACTAATTTTAATATTTAGCATTTTTTTGTGAATTGTTGCCATGGACACTATAAAGTGCAAACGTTTCCCAACTGGAATTCACACAGTCAAATAAATAGTGAACAGCACATATGGTGCACTATATAGTATAAATATATATACTATATAGCCTAAGAGAGCTGAAGTAATTACATCACGTCTGGGTTAGCCTCTGTTCCACTAACTTCTCAAATTCAACACATTCTCTCATTCAGCATTTCTTTCTGTAAAAATAAGCAAGTTCTTCTGGTTTATTTACAACAGCAGTTACTATAAGAAATTAAGATCTTTGTAATTTTAAAAAACAATGTTTACTTTGTGAGCACAGAAAAAACAGCTCAATGAAAAAAAAGGTGGAACCATGAAAGATCGAAATGAAATACTGCATTTACTACTTCTAAGCTAGTAGACAACTTCACTACCACTCATTCATATGCCCTGTCCTCTCACCTACAGTACCTTTACCTATTTTTCTTTATACAAAGGGGTGACTGACATTAGGTAGTTATCCTATGCCCCTTGTTGTTATATAGCATGTACTAAGGGTGTACATATAGAGTTATATATGTTTTCATTACACTGAAATGAGACAAAATTTTACTGACCAAGTAAGTTGACCTTTCTGCGGATAGCATCTAGCTTCTCTTCCAGCTTTGTGGGCATGATGGAGACCTTGCAGGCATCAATGATGTAGGCCACACAGTGGATCTTGTCCTTTGTCCCCGGAGACTTACAATAGCCATGGGCCTCCGAATGCAGAGGAGCAGAGGGGTTGAACTGAATCATACAGTTGAGGTGAAAGACAA